CCACATTTAAAAACATTCACTTTTATGCAATTATTGTAATATACATGTATCTTTAGTTTGATTGAGATTTTCCTTTTCTCTTTGGTTGCTTTCTATTTTGGTGTATGTATATAAATAGAGTGGTCATTTCTTGTCAACATCACAATTATTTGCTAATCACAACAAATTTTCCAATAATTACTACATATATGACAACTATTTTTAAAAACCTTAACACTGAACATTTTCAAGCAGAGCCTTTTTATACCCCATAATCTGAATTACCTTCCTTTTTGAAACACATATAATTTAGTAACTTCTAGTGCAGTGATGGCTAACCCTTTTGTTGTCGCGTGCCAAAAATACATGCATGCGCACGCATTTGTGCCTGCACCCATAATGCAATGCATGCACAACCCTGTCCCTGTGCATGCATGACCCCCCGTGTGCACCCTGCCCCTGCACATGCATGCGTGACCCCCACATGCACCTTGCCCCCCTGCACATGCAAGTGCGTCTCCCCCCACGCCTGCGTGGCAGATACCCGACAATCAGCCGGCTGGTGGGAAGCGCGCGCATGCGCAGTGGATCAATTCCAGGCGATGGCTCGCGTGCCGACAGAAATGGCTCTGCATGCCACTTCCGGAATGCGTGCCGTAGGTTTGCCATCACAGTTCTAGTACCTCCTTCCACCACCCACTCATCTTCAATTTTATGAACCTGGCAGCTATATTTGCAACAAAATTTGAATAATTTGCTTTGTTAAATGTAATCTATTTAAAAAGAAAAAACAACTTATGACTGTCAATCTTTTTTTAGTTAGTTATTTTTGTTATTGTTTCCTATCTTGATAAATTTATGTTGACCCAAAACTAGAGATATACAGAAGATACTATAATTAGAATACTGTTATTATGAGCAATATCACAACTGTGATTTTGTTGTAGGATTTGAAAGACGTAAGGAAATGAGAAATTGTCTGTTATCATCTCAAATAGTTTTTTCCTTCAGTGGACTCTACTGAAGAAAATCAACCAACTTGAGTAAAAAAAAGGAAGTCCTTTATAAATATTAGATTCACATACAACAACCATACTGAGAAATTCAGTTTCAAGGAAGCTGAGGAAAATAATAATTTTTAATGTATATAATTTCAGCTTTAGTCTTTAGAACTTCCTAGAAATATTGGAACGAGACAGCAATAAATTTGCCTTAGTTAATTATCACATAAAAAAGAAAGCATTGATGCTTCTAAATAGAATGAAGGTGTTATAGTAGGATTTGTTTTACTGTTATTTAGTAGGAATTTGGTTGCCATTTGTAATTGCAGCTGAGAAAGATATTGGTTATGGGGACACTCAATAACATATGAAGTTGAAGGTGTTATCAATTACTCCAATTTGGGAATCTTTTCTCTTTTATCCATGGCAACTGTCTCTTCTTTAATACCAGGAGCATTCCAAGTTAGTAACTAATAATAAAAGAAACCTCCCACATAGGTCTCAAGAACTCACAGTCTGCTCAAAGCTAAAAACAAAAAGGATTTTAAAAAAAAGAAAATATAAATATAAGCGTATAAAGCTGTTTTAAGGTATCAACTTGTCCACCCAAATGAATTTCTCTTGGATTAGTTTCAGCTGCTTGCATAAGAGATTAACCGGTTAGATCCAGTCCTAATACCCAATTAAAGATAACCCCTGAGATTCATTAAAAAAGAAAGCTTTTTCATTAACCCCAGTAAAGTGTGCAGTGCCTTGATCTTCTATGAGTACAAATTGTGCTGAAATACAAAACTAAAATAATGGTAAAATCAGTCAGAAACTTTCAAATGTTCATTGGCAGCTTTCCAGGTTTTTGAAGTTGTTATGTGAAAATATCTTGGATACATAATCCAATTCTAGCAGAGTCCTGTTAACTGATTTTTTTAATGTGCTGTGCAGTTGTTTGCTAATAACCAAGCAGGACTTCAGAATAAATATAGCATCTGTATGCAATTCCTGATAGTAATCCTGAGGAAAAATGTAGCTGCTTTAAAGTTGCAGATGCATCTCTATATACTCTGAAGCACATTTTTTGGAATCAGATCAAAGTTCTGTGCTAAACAAACAACTAGAACTTCAGTTCTACTGAAGTTAAAATAAAATAGTCTTCTGCACCAACTTTCTGTTACCACCTCTGATAAGACTAAAAGTTGAATTTTGCATATTAACAAGGCAAGTAAAATACATCAGTATGGATGGGTTGGTTGTTTTTTTTTAGTATGTAGGAATTATCAATGCCAGTCCCACTGATGTCAAATATAGGGTGTATTCCTCTATCTGGAACCAGAAGAGGCCTTATTCTATTCATGCTATTTTTGACAAAACAAAAAATTCCCAGACTTCAGAACTAGGCCTTATAAAAAATTGTCCCTGTTCTTAATTTAAGTAGGAAATCAAATAAAAACAAAAACACTGAGTTTCACTCTAGGAATAGACTTTTAGGAATGGGGCTCTCCCTTTCTAAGCCCTACCTGCTATTATTATCCAACCTTCTTAGTGGGATCAGGGAAAATCCTGTTTTTTAGAATACTAAAATACATTCTGATTAACAAGCTAATTAAATATGGGCCAGATGGTATGTCTGTAAGTGGTGCATAGCTGGCTTTAAAACTGCTCAAGAAAACTCATGAACTACTAGAGTAAGGTAATAAATGTGACGCAACAGTATTCAGTTCTCAACAATTTAATATTTTTTAATAATGATCTGAATGATCAGGTGCATGGAATGTTATCAAGGTGGAAGAGGAAATAGTACAATAATCAAAAGGATCTTGACAGGTTAAAGAAGTGAACTGGGAGCAGCAGGTGGAAACTTACTTGAAATAAATAAATTCAATTAAGAAAAATAAATCGGTACACATGAAAAGGATCTGGAATATTACTATCTAAATATGAATCAGTAATATAATGTAGTTGCCAAGGCAAATGCATATTTCCAAGCAAATCACAAGTAATAGTTGCACAATAATTTGCAAAGTTCAGTCCTACCTCAAATACTGTATCTAGTTCTGGGCATCACACCTTGCAATATCCAGAGAAACTAGAATAGGTACAAGAGGAATAATCTGAAGAGTAGAAATTAAGTCTCAGGAAAAGAGACTGATGGAACTGTTTTCCTTAAGGCAAAAAAACTACAGAGGATGAATATGACACCGTTCGTCAAGATTGTAACCCAGAACATCTAGGCCTTTCTCTGTTGTTTTAGAGTAAAGAATAAAGGAGTTTGTGTTAAGGAAAACATTAGGAGCAGCCAAACATTTCCCTTAACTAAAAGTTTTCAACCAATAATTAAATGGATTCCTGCACTTGGAAGTCTACAATATTATGAATCTATATCAGAGGTGGTTTTCAGCAGGTTCTGACCAGTTCTGGAGAACTGGTAGCGGAAATTTAGCTCAGAGAAAAGGCAAATCCCACCTCTAATTGGCCCGCCCCGTCTATTCTCTGCCTCCCGAGTCCCAGCTGATTGGCTAGGTCTTCTTTTGTTGCCCTGCGCAGGAGAACAGAGCTGGAAATCAGGTTAGTGGAGAGAGGAGGGAATGGGGATTTTGCAGTATCCTTCCTCTGCCATTCCCACAAGCCACACCCACCAAGCCACGCCACGCCCACCAAACCATGCCCAAGCCATGCCCACATAGTAAAAATTTTTGAATCCCACCACTGATCCATATTTATTGCAGATAGAGGCAATATTAACATATCAAAGTGCTGTAGTATATAATTCAATGAATCTGAACAATCAAAATAGTCAAATGTAAATCAAACAAAACTATTTGTCAATAGTTTGCTAAATAACAGAATCGCTTAGAATTTCTATGTAACTAAGATTCTCAAGTTAGCCAGCTATTCAATGTATCCAAAATATTATAATAAGACTCACATGATTTAGGTAAGGTTGAACAAACATGTTGCAGTTCTGAAGGCACCCATTCATAAAGACTGTAAAGCTCCAGGCATTTCTTAGAAGTCCTGGGCTTTTCTGTCCTTCCCTTCATAAATATAGATTGTTTGTACTGATTGACATATTTTTTTAGTGTTCTAAAAACCAGAACATATTTTGGCATATATTTTTTTTAACTATTTATATAAAAATATTTCTTTATTTATAAAGTCCTTTTTAGGACATGATTTCAAATCAACCAAGTATATTTAGTACTGTAAAAGCTGCTTTTGTCGTTTATCAATAGTCTCTAAATAACTATACACACGATTTCCATCCCTGTCAGTTCATTTTGTTTTGGTTGAGCTGGAGCTTATCTTTGTCATTACTTCTTTACAGTAATCATTTAAAAGGTCTGGATTGTTTCTGCTGTCTGGAAAATGCAGCTAGTAAGACTATGGGCTCAGGAGCCACAATAAAACTGGCTTTCTTCTAACATTTCCCCCTTCTCAATGTGCTTCGAATGTTATTTACTCGGCACATTTTGATTATCATCCCTTTCCAATGAAAGCTGCACAACATGGGCCTCTGGGAAGCTCTTGTCCCACTTCCACCTCTTCTGCATCCACCCTGAACAGTCTCCATCTCCATCCAGAGAGCCATCGTCTTTCACTCTTGCCCTTGCTCACAGCAACCCGTCCTATTCAATTACTTCCTTCTTAGCTGGGTCCAGCAAACTCCCTTTGACCGATGTGATTCTGCCCTTGCTGTGTTTGCCACATGCTTCTGAACCCTGCCCCCTACCCAGCACCTGGATCAGCAGCAGTTGGACTGGGACTATTGGAACTGCCATTGCTAAGTGGAGTAGTGGTGTGAAGCTTTGCCTAACAACTGCTTCATTTAGCAGTGGACATTCTGATCCCAATTTAGGATTGTTTAGCGAGGATTTTGCAATGGAAGGGGAAAATTCCAATCTTTTCCTTGGAGCTTCATGAGAGAGAAGGACAGATGTATAAAGTTAGAGTGCAGGATAATTTATACAATGCCAACCCATTGCTATGTTACCGAAGTAAGATCAATGTTCATGGAGATTTTCTTACCTGGCATAATGGATGAAATGAATAACTTTTTCTGTAAACTTCGCAGCTAAGGTAGTTAAGTTTACAGGCTGTTGGACAATTGTAAGGTTTTCAAAAAGAGGAAGTGCAATTTCAGGATAGCAGTTTTTCTGATGTTTACTGGAAAAAAAATCGTAAGATCTTGAGTATGGAATGAGAGATTAATGCAAAAGTGGGCTCTAAAAATATTATTTATTTTGGTAGTCCCCTAGTCTTTGGTCAACAAAATCAGCTAAAAAACAGAGCCAAGGTTACATTTGCTCTGGGATAGAGCAAGTGTAATCAGCCTCTATCCAAACTGAAAAAGATAGGGTGGAACACAAATGACAAAATTTCAAACTATCACAAACTGCTCTGAAAGGATAATTAGGCTTTAACATAGCTTGGGATTTGGAAGTTGCAGGACCACCTGTTCAACCTAAATGAACCCATCCTACTACAAGTAGATCTTGCTTACCAATTGCCCTATTCCGAGCTATTCAAAATTGCAGTGGTGTTGAAAATAACTTTACAATCATTGCCATCATTTATAACCTTCACAGCATCCCTGTTACACATTTTTTCTTTTCTCTCTCTCTGCAGAGCAGAGATTGGAGAAAAGGGGATTATAAGAGAGTAAAAAGGCACACGATAGGAAAAAAGGGGTCAGCACAGATGAGATTGTCTAAGGTTCACTTGTTTGGTTCCCCTCTGCAGAACACAAAGGTTGCATAAACAGGTGAGTGAGGGGGGAAGGAAAAAAAAAAGAATAGAAAACAAGCAGTCTCTTTTATTCTGTGCCTGACCATTTTTTTTGTCCTCTCCCACTTGCAGGATAAAGAAATTAGGGAGAAAACATTGCAAACTCGCAATGGGGAATGCATCAGATGTTTGCTGGCATCACTGCATTCCTTTCAATTTGTATTACCCATCATATGCCTGCTACTCTCTTGTGATGCTTTCCTCTCCGTTGAATGAAAATACAAATATTAATTCTCTTCTTCTAATTATTGCAACACCGTGTTGGGCATTTAAAGGGAAAGGGAGTGGGGAAAGGAAAGCACAATCACATGAGCTTGTTGGCTTCCCAGAGTTACCCTGTGGTATGGTGAACAGCCAATAAATTTGATAAATAAATAAAAATTTCCCACTTAGAAAGTGCTTTGCTTAACAACAGGGTTACTAGTCCCAATTATGATTGCTAAATGAGGACTGTCTTTAGGTGGTTTAGGGGAGAACTTTGTGTAGTTCCACACATCCACAGAATGAGGGAAAACATAGTTAGAAGGCCCTGATTCTCAGAGGTAGCACCAATGGAACTATTTCATGGAAATCAGGCCAGTCCATACCTTGAGAGTTTTCAGGAAGATGTTAAATACTGAGATATTTTGAAAGATGTTCCAATTATGTTACATCTGTGCCATTCTTTTTTATCATTTTTATTTATAATTTGGTTTGATTTTTATTGTGCTTGGATTTTCTGATTTTCTGACTTAGTGCTTGAATTGAAATTCCAAAACATACTATGAATGTTTTTATGTTTTCATGATACTCTGCGAGCTGCCAAAAATCACTAGATTATGCTGGGATATAAATTCATAAACAATAAATAACATACCTGACTGTTGTGGAGCATCTGGGACAAGCCGGGCAGGGAGGGAGGTTATAACCTGGAGTGTCAGTACAGCCCATATCAGGGCTATATGGTATCCCAAAATAAAAATCAAAACCTAGAAACAAAAAGATACAAGATGAAGAAATGTCTGGCTATCTCAGGATCAGTCTTATCTGAAATTGAATACATGTCTGTGGCAACCCAACTGCAAGGACTCAGCAGAACACACATCAACATTTAAGCACTGACTGTGAACTCATGGTTCTATTAGTTATTTAAGAGTCCTAAGCAGGATTAGGTTTATTACTGCCAGAAAGAACACTGTAATAGCAATAGATTTATATACTGCTTCATAGTGCTTTACAGCCCTCTCTAAGCAGTTTATAGAGTCAGCATATTGCCCCCAACAATCTGGGTCTTCATTTTACCAATCTAGGAAGGAAGGAAGACTGAGTCAACTTTGAGCCAGTGATTCCATCACTTGGAAACCTGACAACTGAACTGCTGGCAGTTGGCAGAATTAGCTTGCAATTCTGCATTCTAACCACTGTGCCACCATGGCTCTGTTATTAATTTGCAGTAGACAACCCAAGAGCCATTGGGTCATTATTGGATTGTTACAACTGTACTGGACAAATGAAGGAAAATATGCATGACCCAGTATAATGTTGCAGAACCCAATCTGGGTTGTCACTGGCACCAGAGGTTTAGTCTGGTGAGAGAGAACTGATCTCTCACCAGAATGTGTACAGGACAAATGTATTTTACACTAAACTACCCATGACCCACTAGGTCAATATTTCCGAGGTATTTCTTTACCTAAACAGAGAAATAGAAAGTCCACAGGCAGGCAAAAAAGCAGTGGGAAAGAGAGCAACTTCTGACTTCCTGCTGGTTTCCCCATTGATTTTGCTTTTGGGAAGCTGGCAGAAAGTGTTGGAAATCACAATCATGTGACCTCAGCTAACTGCGGCAGTACTGCTATGTCTACAGCTTTGGGAATACAACTGGTGTGAAGTTTTTTTTTTCAAATTTCAATCACACAGGAGTAATGGGTCATGGATTCTGTACTGATTCTTTAACGTAGCAAGTTTGAGGTACCTTGATTCAAAAATGTTTGCCATTTGGGCTAAATGAAGGTAACAAGCAGACAAGCAGCAGGAGAATTTTAATAGTATACAGATTACCTGTCTCTTTTATCTCCCCCCCTTCACAATAGTTTACAAATGTAGAATTTTTAAAAAGCTATTAGACTGAGAAAAATAAAACCATTTAATACATTGCATTAAGTGACCTATTTCATTTTGGCTTAGTATATTGTGTGTTGCCAGCCAACCGTTGTTGCAGACAACAGTTGAGCAATCTATAGCTTAAGGCTTCAAGCAGAGCCCAATACACATATCTGCCCCCACTTGAATCCTGACTTAAATTGCCACTGATGGCAATTTTTTTGCTAATTTAAGGAAGGAAAACTGTACTGTAAGTCCTCAAATAGTTTTAATACAATTTTTAAAAAGGAAGAAAAAACAACCATTGGGGGGGGGGGGGCAGAAGGAGAATCACATGTATAAGATGACTCAGTTTATTTTTGCATTGTCACTCAAACCACTATAGACTCAAACCTACCAAAAGGTTATCCAGTGCAGACTGGATTTAAGGCTAATCCTGCTGTATGAACCTAGCCAACTAAGATTTATGTCATAAATGATTTTTAGGTAAATCACAGGTAGCATAATGTGAATTCGGTTAATACATCTGCTGTCAAAGAAGGATTTTAGATGAAATATCAATGCTGATGAAAATGAAGAACTTATCTGGAGTTTACAGGATTATACATCTACATATCTATAGTATATACTCTATTTGCTTTGTTGTGGTCCTGGGCCTTATAAGATTAAAATGCTTCCTTGTATAAAAGCAAGTATATTATCCATACAAAAACTAGCAGGTTAAGAAAAAGTTACATTCATGTCAATCTTGCTTTCTTATCCAGAATATCCTAGATATCTATGTGGAAGGTATGTACCTCAAAGCATTCACTTTTATGAAATTGCAATTTCAACTAGAACAACTTTGGCATTTTAGTAGGAGGAAATAAGTATAGAAATCTTACCACGAAAGCTGGGGTGGAAAGAGCCATGATGTCCCAAGTGCCATTTCCCTATAAAGTGATGTGGAACAGAAAAGTATCAGTACCAAAAATGTGTCAATGCAAAATAGTGACCATGAAAAAAAAAAAAAATTGGCTACTTTAGCTCTGGGCAATTAGCTGAGAAAGTGAGGACAGGACCAAATTCACAAACCACGTTATCCTGACTCATCAGAATCACTGAGTCTAGCTAATATTAAAAAACAAGTTCCGTTTTATGATAAAATTTGTGATAAAAAAGCCAGTTTTAGTCTAATGGTTAAGGCAACAGACTACAAAGCAGGTGACTATGAGTTCAAGTCCCACCTTAGTCATGAAAGCTAGCTTGGGTGACTTTGGGCCAGTCATCTTTTTTCTCAGCCCAACCCACGTCACAGGGTTGTTGTTGCGGGGGAAATACGAAGAGGAAGGTGTGTGGATATGTTTGCCACTTTGAGATACTTGTAAAAGCAATAAAGGCAGGATAAATAAATAAAATTGCATAAGAACTTTGTGCTAAGGAATCCCAATCAGAAAATATCCAGCCATTATCCTTTCCTATCATAAACACAGGAGAAAAACAACCCCCTTCTCAGCATAAAACCAAATGATTCATTTTCATTACATCTTGAAATACTCCACCAATTTGCAACCTAGGAAAAGTCTATCTTTCTCTCTCAGCACCCAAATGTTCTGAATCCAGTGAGTTTCCAGGATCCCAAATGCTTATGCAATAAAGTGGAGTCTTAGGGCCAGTTTGCATATAGTATGAGAAAGGTACCTCATCTTCTGTTGTGAATAGTGTCAAATGGCTTACAAAAATATGCAAGCTAACCCATAATTAAAAGGGCAAGGTAAACCAGCAACAAAGAGAAAGCAGAAAATAGAACAAATCTTTAAAAAGCTTACATTTATTGGGAGAGGAACCTTATCCTGGAGGAAACCTTAGAGGCAAATATTTGTATTGCCAAATACAAAGATTTCTGAGACAGTGATAGCAAACTATGTTTGGAAGATAATCTACTAGGAATTGTCCTATCCACTGAGAAGATGCAGTATGCAAAGAATTTAGCAATGCTGCTGGGTTTCCTGGCTATCTCAGTGAGTCTTTGGGAACGCCCCTGCCTAACCAGAATACCTTGGGATACACTTTGCAATCGAAGGGCTGGTGCTTCTTTGAGAATTAGATCTAGATGATGTAAAAAAACAACAACACAACATGCATTTCCCAAGATGACTTCCGCCGCAAAGATATTTAATAGTATGGGAAATATTACCTAATTACCTGGGGAAATTCTGGCCTTCTGTGCATATTTCCAACTGAAATAGCTTACTGGTATTATCTCTTTTCCAGTAATTAATCAAATCTTCATTTTGATCATAGACCAGCATATATCCAGCTATAAACAGAACCAATTTAAGTTTATTTTCTGGGGTAGTTTAAATTACCTATCATAGCGGTGAGGTAACCAGCTTCTTTCAGAACTTCTGCCAATGTCGTCTCATTCAATGGAAGGCCTGCCACTGAAGACACAGCAAAATTATGCGTGACGCCATTACGAAGGCCGAGACGTCCTGTAAGCAGAGAGGCACGTGATGGGGAACAGGTAGATGCAGCTGAATGAAAATCTACGAATCTAGAAAAAGGGGGGAAAGGTTCCTATTATTTTTCATTTATCCTTTCATTTTGAAACAAAATATTCTTGAGTTGGTTTATGGCCAAGTATCTAACTGTAGTTAGAGGCCCGGCTGTCCAAAGCTACTTGGTTAATGTGGTTTGACATTGAAATATGTGCTTTTTTTTTTTTACCCTTATCCTCATGCACACTGTGTACTTTTGCATCTATGGATCTGGAGCACTGTTATTGCTTTCATGAAATTCCTATTGACTTACACGAGCATTAAGCTTGCAATTTTTATGTCATGTGTTGTCTTTAAGGCTGAAGTAGACTTCTGCCACACTGCACCACACAGAATGCATGCGTCTGTTGATTGGGGATGGTTGCATAGTTCTTTTTATAGGTCAGCAAATTTTAATGTTTCTTGTGTGACCATGTTTTGCCTTCCCCAACCTCCCAGTAGGAAGGAACCAACCAGCATGCAGGGCAGGGTGCACATCTCCGCACAACACACAGTTGGGGTTCAGGAGGTGTTTGTGTTGGCCCCTCTGCAGCCTTCACTTTCCCTTCAACCATTTTGTAGCATAAGTATGCAGTGATGGGTACGGGCAGTTGCGGGCAACTCTAAATCTGCCTTTAGGGAAAAGGGAAAGCGCCCAGATAATTCAAATGTATACAGACAACAATCATGACTTCAGAATTAGTGCAAATGAGAGATGCACAGCATGTTTGCTAACTTGACTTCTCAAGGTTGCTAATCTCCAAGGGAAAATCAGTGCTGAGCTTTTCCTGGGGGACAAAACTGCCAAGGAGGTGACATTTTCAGTCAGTCTGGCAGTATCCAAATCTTCCTAAAAACCCGTTCTCTAAAAGCATGCTGCTTCATGCGACTAATGATTTTTGAAGTATCTCCTATTACAGATTTTGGGGTGTAGAATGTTCAAATTAAATTTTTGGGCTATGGAAACTTAGGAGATGTGGTTATTAGAGTAGTTAAAGGGTAATTTATTCCATCTGATGACATCAAAGGCCAGAAGGTTCAAAGTACAGGACAAACATTCTTGAGAACGGCCTCATATAACGGCTTCATATAAAAAGTCATCAGGCTTTTTTTTCAAGTTGCAAGTTATCCTGTACAGCAACATTTCACTTGAAAGAGGGAAATGTCAGTTAATCCAAATTTTTAAAATCTCAAGAGATCACAATATAATCTAATTATTTTTTTCCCCATGCAGGATTAAAGAAAGCTATATACAGAAAAAAAAATTGTCATGTGTCTGGGCTTTTTAAAAAAAACACAACAAAACACTAGCTTTGACCATAAAAAATGGAGCAAAAAATTCATACCATGAATTAGCTATGTTAATAATTCTGTCCACAACGATCTTTTTTCCAGTCCAGTATCTTCAACTACTATACGAAACTGGTTCTCCTACGATCCTGGTGACTACTTGGACAAGTCCATACAGGCAATGGGGCGGATGTTCTATCAGACAGGCATCATGAAAGAAAAAGCACATCTCCTAGGGCCTACCAAATGTAGATCCCTAGCTGATGATACCCACAGCACGCCTTCTTTGCCAGATCAAGTAGTGTGGGTTGAAATAACCTGGGAGAGGAGACCACTCAGATAGCCTGACCCCATGCCACAAACGCCTTTATTATCCTAAGTATATTAATTTTCTTGGTATTTTTGGAAGTAGGTTGCCATTGCATTCTTTTTCTTAGGGCTGAGAGAGAGTGGCTAGACCAGTTTTCCCTAGCTGGCACCTCAGTAGGGTTGAACTTAAGTCTCCTGATTTCTGGGCTAGTGCCTTTAGCACTGAACCAACTGTCTCTTAAGGTGTACATTCTCCAAATGAAACAATCTACATTACAACTTAGCCCTTGTATTTACTGAAATAATTCATAACAACTGACAATCTTAAATCTTTATAAGAGAAGTCTCTAGTATTTATATTCTCTTTGCGGTTATCAGCAGAATCCTATTGAGTGGATCCCACAACTCATTTGTCATGGGCATATTTTAAAACTGTTGTGCATAAAATAAAACTGAAACCATTCATGAGAAAAATTAGCAATAATTTGTTGCAAGGAAAAAAACCTGAAAAATAAATGCAACAGGAAAGCAATCAATACAACTATCTGGATGGACTTGCATGATGTCTTGGATGGATTATTGTGTGATGGGAGATGGTGAGGGAATCTGTAATCAGCAGATTTTTGGAATCTCATTAATTACATTGAAAGGGTAAAAGCATTTGACCAAACAATAATAAGCATCTCATTCTTTCAGTAAGATTAATACAAAGTAAGAGAACAGCAGTGAACTCAGAAATCTCTGGTTCAACTATTACTTCATAATTGGGGCCTTTGGTAAATCCACTTTTTTTTTTCATTCTTCACAATCTTGAGATTGGGAGGTACAGTACCAGATCAATACAGACATAACAGTTCTGTCTGGGGTGGAAACCAGCAGCTCCAGATGCATCAGCTTTATTCCCATAATGAGTATTGTATGTGTATACTCTTCTTCCTACCAGAGGAGTTGACCAGGAGAGGAAACAGGAAGAGAAAGAGGCTGAGGTGACTGAGATAATCATGTAGGAACTGAAGTACCTCTTGCCATGAATGTGGATTAATTGCAGAGATTAATACCAAGATTAAAAAATTAGACCATCAATCAAGAAGCAAACAATCCCCCAATCAAGGAACTGCCAAACAAGCCAAGAGTAAAAACAGCCCAATCGACGAACCGCTAAGACCACTCCCATCAATACTGACAATGCAAGCTACTAGGGTATAAAAAGGGCGTTGGTACTTACCTGACACACCCGTTCTCTTTGAGCTGTGAAGAGCATCCAGTAGTGGGAGGTGCTCCAGTCTCTGCTTGTCTAGGCTGGGCTTAATTTGTGGAACGCTCCTCGTCCTCCACGGGACTCCTCCCCAGCTTTCCCCAGTTTTGGCGAAGATGAGAGAAATAAACACCCTCGTCCTCAATGCCCTAACAATTTGTTGGCCGAAACAGGACCCCACCAGACGGGAAAAAGAAAAGGGTGGGGCTGGATGCTCTTCACAGCTCAAAGAGAACGGGCATGTCAGGTAAGTACCAACACCTTTCTCCCATGAGCTGTTCAGAACATCTAGTAGTGGGACATACCAAAGCCTGTCCTGTCCTACGGGAGGGACCCCGTCTGGCTTGGACTCCCCTCCTGTTCCCCGTGGACCTGCTGCAGAACTCTTCTGCCAAAGGAGGCCTCAGCGGATGCAAACACATCTATTTTATAATGCTTAATGACGGGCGATGGAGAGGCCCAGGTTGCGGCTCAACAAATTTCGGTTACTGGTGCCTGCGTGGCACACGCTGCCAATGTTGCGGCGCTCCTTGTTGAATGAGCTGTTATGCCCCTGGGCACCTGTAGTGATTGAGTCTCATATGTTTTCGCTATAGCGGCCCGTAGCCAACGGCCTATTGTGGAAGATGAGGCCTTGCATCCCTGAGTGTTGGGCTGAAATGATGCAAATAAGGCTTCCGTTTTTCTGAAAGTCGCTGTGCGGTTAATATATATTCGTAATGCTTGCCTCACATCAAGCCAATGCCATTGTAGTTCCAACCCTTGGGATGGTCTGGGACAAAAATTAGGAAGTATCAGCTCTTGTGCCCTGTGAAAGGCCGAGTTAATTTTGGGTATAAACGCAGGATCAGGACGCAGGACCACTTGGTCAGAATGGAAGACACAAAGATCTTATCTGATAGACAAAGCTGCAAGTTCTGAAATACGACAAGCGGAAGTGATTGCAACAAGGAAAACGACTTTATACGTCAGAAATTGGAGACTTAACGATTTCAAGGGTTCGAAAGGGCCCTTAGTGAGTGTGACGAGGACCTTGTTAAGGTCCCAGGTGGGATAATGGTGTACCATTGGTGGGCGTAAATTTGTGGCTCCTCAAAGGAAACTCTGTATGTGTGGGTGATGGGAAAGAGATAGTAGACCTTCACAAGTGAGAACTGATGCCAAGGCTGCCACCTGTGTTTTCAACGTATTAGGTGATAATTCCTTGTCAAGTCCCTCTTGCAAGAACTCTAGGATTTCAGCCACAAATGGAGAGATGGGATCAATTTGAGACTCGGTACACCATTTGCAGAAACTGGATCATATGGCATTAAAAATGCGAGTTGTTGGGGGGCGTCTGGTGGCTTGGATGGTGGCGATAACTCTGTTGGAAAACTTTTTGCTCTTCAGACGACTCCGCTCAACCTCCAGACGGTCAGGTGCAACCATTGAGGGTCCGGATGTTGAAGGGGTCCCTGAGTTAGCAAGACCCTGTCTGTTGATACAGATAGACTGCGGAGGTCTGCAAACCATGGCCATCTGGGCCAGTAAGGAGCTACTAGAAGCAGCTCCGCCCTCTTGTCTAGCAGCTTCTGGATGACCTTGGGAAGCAGTGGAAGTGGCGGGAATGCATACAGAAGTCCCGGGGGCCAACGACAGTGGAGCGCATTGAAGTTCTCCGCTCCTTGCGAGGGGTACCTGGAAAAAAATCTTGGGAGCTGAGCATTGAGGGGGGAAGCGAACAGGTCCACCACCGGCTGTCCAAATGTCCTGACCGCCTCTTGAAACAAGGTCGGATGGAGGCGCCACTCCGATTGATCGATCGTGGCCCTGCTTAGCCAGTCTGCCTGTGTATTCGACAATCCTGAAATGTGCTCTGCTCTGATGGAAAGTAGGTTGCTCTCCGCCCAACGACACAAGCGCTCCGCTTCCCACATGAGGTGTTTTGACTGTGTGCCCCCGTTTGTTTATGTGAGCTTTTGCTGTTACGTTGTCAGTCAATATTAGTATGTGTTGATTGCGTACCTGTGGAAGGAAGCTGCGGAGAGCCAGGTGTACTGCTCGAAGCTCCAGCCAGTTTATGCTGCACGACTGTTCTGTGGAGGACCAGCAGCCTTGGGCTGTGAGCGATTGAAAGTGAGCTCCCCATCCAAACAGGCTGGCATCGGTGGTGATGGTAAGTCT